AAACCAACCCAGCACCATAAAATAACAGGGCCCCCAATTTCAACCCAGGATATTAACAAACTTATCTTTGAGGTTATCATTTCCATTCCAATTGATTGTTTTAGCACGAACAACATTTATAATATCAAATCTCACCTTCCCAGGAGAATTCCAAACATTAGAAAATCTCCTGCAATTCCATTCTCTCCAGGTAAAATAGATAAAGGTGGCCAAAGTCAAATAACAGAAATATTTATCCCTCCTACTATAATCATGCATATTATCAAAGAAATTAAGAACCTGCATGAGGTTCGGTCTGAGGTAGAACATCCCAGTCACAGGAATCAAATCCGTGAGAATGGAGAAAGTGTAATCACATTCAAAGAAAATGTGGGAGTGATTCTCTAAATGATCTGAAATTTGTAAGGATTCAGTTAGAATTTATGTCAAAATAATTGCTTTAGGTTTATTATAATGTATTTTTAAGTGAGTTGTTTGTTGGATATTGAATAAAATGAAAGTTTCTTCTTAATGGAATTTATTTTTGTTTGAATAAATTATGAAAATTTGTTCAGAGGTTTAATGGTTGATCATAAATTATTGCTTTTAGTTCATTGACTAAAAAAGTTTAGTCATAATTCATGATAACCTAAGGCAAAGCACGCCCCTAAGACAAAAGAGTGTCTTAGATTTCTTCAATTATTACATTTTTTACTAAAAAATTGCTTTCAAAAACAGTAATAAAGTCATCCCAAATAAAATCTTAGTTGATCGACGACATATTTAGATTTATAATTTTTTTATATGTGTGATTGTGTTGTTTGTGATGGGCTCCAATATAACTTAAATTGCTAATGTGAAAAAATGTGGAAGCCAAATATGAGAACATAAAGTCAAATTTATCTTTTTGAGCAAAAATTCATGAGTGCTTGGCCAATGCTTTTTTTTTTTAGGAAAGGCGATTAATAAATATAAAGAATGCGGCTTGAACTTATGACTAGGGGTGTCAATATTTGACACGACACGAAAACCCGACTCGAACCCGACCCATAAATTTTGGGTTTGATCCGACCCGATTTCAAAACGAGTCGAGTTCGGGTTCCAGAAATCGACCCATTTGAAAAACGGGTCAGGTTCGGGTTGACGGGTCAACCCACGAAGCCGTTTAAAATCAACTGCCTGCACTGCCCCGCCAGCCCGCGAAGCACCAGCGCTCGCCTGAGCACACTGCGCTTAGTTATATACGAAGATATTCGAACTCTACTTCTACGTTCTCATATTGTATAATGCAACAAAGTTCTGAAATTGGGTCCAAATAGGTTTGAGTTTTATTTTAATCATTTAAAATACTTTTGAAAAAAAAAATCATATAATCAACACAATAGTGAAATTGGACCCAATTTATGTTAATGAAAATAAATTTAATCATATGTGATAATTCATATATATATGCCTCTTGCAAAAAATAAAAATAAAAAATATTATGTCAGCATATCTTGACATGTTTTACATCAAGATCGATGGGCTCCTGATTACTTAAATTTGTACTGAAATTAATGTTATGTATAATATCTAATAATTACACTAATCTCATCATAAATATAAATATTTAGAAGCTGATACTATTATAAATCACATAATAATATTCTTACATAATAATATTCAATGTAAAATATACAGATATACCACAATTAATTGCATGAGTTACTAAATAATACAAGCAAAACTCGTGGCCTTATCCGACATTTTATCTGTTCACAATATGAACATTGAAAATTGCATTTTTTACTTAAATTGCAAAATAAAATAAAAAAAATATATCGTTGGTATTATTTATCAATTATTTAAACAGAAAAAAATAATAGAAATAGAAGTTTTTTTTTTGGAAAAAAAAACACTTTGGGGCCTAGGCATTAGTGATGATAAATAGTACACGTCCTTATAGGATCAGAAGCTAGCTAAAAGAACAACATTTGAAACAAAACCTAGGAGCTTTAGATCCTACCTAATACATGAAAATAAAAAAACAAAGCAAAGCAAAGCATAAGCTGAAATATAAATAAAGAGACAACATCATCACCAACCGCAACATCCAAATAGTACCCCAACGCACGGCCAAGCGACCCAACGAACAACCATCACCAAGAGCAACCCAAGCGATCTAGATCTAATCCAAGTAAAGAAAGCACCAACCTGCAAACAACATTAAATAGAGAAAGAAGAAAATGAAGAAGGTAGGAGCACTTCCCCCACACCAACGGAGAAAAACAACAGAACCACCCAGCAAATTCCACAACCATTGCAACCAGAGGTAAACAACAGCAAAACCCCAGCTAAAAAAAAAAAACGAGCATATCTGAACAACAAAAGGCTACTTTCTATCTTAACTTCTACGATGTTTACTTCCACGAGAAAAAACTTTATCAACCACCTGGCAAACATTAATACCATACAAATCCTATAATGTTTCATCCTGCTCGTCACCAAGGTCATCACCCCAACACACCAGGCGATGATGGAGACCCATCAAGCCAAGCCAAATGTCCAAGACAAGTAACCCCAAATTAGAAGTGACATGAGCATTTAAATCGTTAGTGGACATAAGAACAATAGGCACCTCGACAAGATTCTCATTATACATAGAGCCCACATTCACAGGTGAAACAAACATGCCAACAACATTCCCCACAATGGGAGAAGTCGGCCCATCCAAAGGTTTAGGAGAAATCGCAACCCTAGGTGAAACATAGCACACATCTGGTTGACCCATCCATCTCATCAATCCCCTCCACCTCAACATGTGAAAAAGCCATAGAACAAACCCCCACATCACCAGATTAATGAAAATTCCCACACGCCACCTCCTGAGTATTTATAATAAGAGAAATAAAACCAGTAGCCCTCTGAAAGACAACATCACTAGGTTCTAAACTCATGCCCCACCTCATTAAGCAGAGGATACACAACGTCAACATTCTCATTAGCAAAATTCAAATCTTAATTCACCGCCATATCATCATGAACCTCCCCAACCAAATCAATAGAATGAATAACAAGAACATCAGCCACAGTCCCCTCCTGAACAGGAGGAACAACATCCAACTTTGGAAATAAGATCGGACAACCTTCCTTGGAATGACCTAATGTTTTATAATGAAAGCAATACAACGGAAAATCTTTCATTTCAATCAATTGAATATAACCCATAGACTTGGAACCAAGCCAAACTTGAGAAGTATACCATTTAGTAACATCTAATTCAATGAGTATGTGGGCTACTGAAGGTCTAGTTCCATTCGTGGTCGCATTATTGATATGCAAGGGTCCATAGAACACAGACCTCAATCAATGAAGAATGCAAGGGGAGGAAAGATGAGGGCACAAACTGTGAAAAAAAACCCAAATTAGAATAATATGATACTCCACATTTACATCAAAATGGGGAGTCCACTTAAAAAAGCTCCATGAAATAATTGTTAATGAAGTATGATCGGTGAGAAAAAATCCTACAATAATCTAAATCATTAAATAGTTTGATCAACACATTTTTAGGGTTCAAAACAGCAACCGAGAAGGCGCCACAAAGCTTTAGGTTAAAGAAAAATTTATGAATCATCAATAGGTGACGACGGCCCGAAAACTTTTCCACCAAAGCAAACTCAAAATGCACTACAAGTGAAAGCAATTCCTCATCCGAAAATAATAACGTAGGCAAACCATGATGGGAAGAAACTTTGAGCGAAGGAAAGTCCGATGAAGCATATTCACCCGATAAAAGCATCTCTAAACGACCTAGGTTTAAGCTTCTCATCCAAAAACCCAGCATCTCTTAATCGATTTGTAGCCATACGGAATAAAATCACAATAAATCAAAGGATTAAGGGAGAAAAAATACCAAACAGAGGTGGCAAGCGGAAGCAAGACCCCAAACACGAGAACCATAGACATCGTGGGACTAGCTTATGATTCGATGCTTTGTTCTTGTTATTATACATAATAGATTGTTATGTATAATATTTATTTTGTATTTATATATTTTTAATAAAAGTAAAAAATTAATTATGGTGAAATGGCATTGCCTCTAAATAATAAACAAAATTCAAATGGCATTCCCTCTCAACACAACTGTCCCCCACCGTCCGTCAACTGTCCCCCACCGCCCGTCAATTGTCATCAACCCTAAAAAAATAATTCTATTTTATTTGATTGATTATTTATTTATTTATTTAAATTTTACGGGAGCTTGGCGTCAAACAATCTAACGCGAGCTAGGCGTGCTAACGGCCGGGCGGGAGCGCGGTTTGTGAATGGCAGACGGGAGCTGGGCGTGCAGACGCGAATAGAGCATGCTTTGCGAATGGGATAGGAATCCTCAACTAAACCTAAGTACCCACTTACCAGTTAGGTACGCACATAATTTTTGAGTTCAATATAGAGAAATTATTCTGTGCGGAGACCAAACGGAGAGAACCATCCGGATTTGTTACACTTTAGCTGCCATTTTGTTATGCTTTTGCAAATACTCAACAAAAGAGCAATAAACATATATTTATAATAATATTTGCTGCCCATTTGCTGAGTATTTATAAAAAAGTAACAAATTCAGATGATTCTCTTGATCCGATCTCCGCATAGAATAAGTTTTCTTCAATATATGTACTTAACCGGGAGCGTGATGTACATGGTAGCTAGAATTTTTTTTTCCTTCAACCATTCAGCCGCACAAGTGACTCATTAAATACCTTTTTAAATGACCACAAATTCTGTTTATGCAAAGCGGGCACAGATTCGAGCACATGTTTCCAATATCCGCTAAAATTTCTTTATTTTAAGAAGCCTGTATTTTCATGATTAAAGCTGGAAAAAGAAAACAATCAGCAACTTTGTCAAATCAAACGGTCATTTCTGTTGCTCCTAATCAAGTAAAAGCTGTAAAACAAATGGAAGAAAATGGATAGTTTCGTAATTTATAAAATTCTGAGGCGCTCTTTCACATATGACCGCCAACGTTCCTCAGAAATTCAAGATCAAATTAAAAAATAATTCTGCCATTCGCTTTGGCCTCCACTTCTGTACAAACTCCCAAATCTATTCCATGCCCCCACGCCCTAGCTGTAGTCTCTTGAGCTAGCAATAGAGCTTTTTCGAACGAAGTTGAGAGAGAGAAGAGGAGGAGAGTACCATGATTGCAGCCCAAGTTCCGGCTTTGATGGAGAAAGAGGGAGCGGCGCCGCCTGAAACCCTAGCCTTTGGCGAGGGCTCCAAGCCAGCGAAGATGGGGAAAGTGGGCAGAGCGGAGGTGGACACGTCGGCGCCATTCGAGTCTGTTAAGGAGGCCGTGGATAGATTTGGAGGGAGCGCAGTTTGGAAGTCTCAGCTCAAGCTGTTTTCCAACTCTCTCGTGAGTAGATTTTAGGGAGTTCTTACTGCATTTTGTTTATACTTAGGGTTTTTTTGTTGTCGCATTTGTTGCTTGCTGTAAATTTTGATTTTTCTTCAATTTCGTAAGAGTGTGCACAAGATGCATTTTTTCTGCTGTATTAGGCAATGCTTGTTAATTATATGGAATTTTGTACTGGTGGAAGTGTAACACTTCAAAGTATGAACTTATGAATTTATTTGTATGGTACTTAATCTTAATGTTAGTGGTATGCTGTTTAATTTATTAAATATACATAGATTTCATCTTGGAGAGATGGCATTATCATCATCATCATCATTAGTACTTTTTAGCCTCATCCCAACTATTTGGGGTTGGTAATTAGCCCTCATTTTTCATTATGTCTGAGGTGTTAAGCATATTCTTCATTAATCATTTAGGACAACTAACTTCTATCAACACAACCTCAGGTATATTTCTTTTTCTTGTTATATTTTTAATTAATTTTGTTAACTCGTTTAGTGTGCGCATTTTCTATCATTCATTATACATTTTCAAAGCACTTAAGTCTATTTTCAATCACTTTATCTTCAATAGATGTAACTTTAACCTTTTATTTGATATTATCATTTTTTAATTTATACTTCTTAATTATACCTTGAAATTTTCCTAACGCTCATTTTTGTTACATCCAACTTAGATATTCCTGACTTTCATATCAACACGACAACGCCAACGTAATTGTGGTTTTATGAAATCTGCCTCTAAAACCCCATAAAATCCTCTTATCACATAAAATTCTTAATGAATTTCTACATTTAACCATCCAATCTAAAAGTTATTTTTTAACATGTCTCCATTTTTCTATAGAATGTTTCTAAAGTACTCAAATTTATCATACTTAAGTGTCACGGTATCTTCTAATAATATTGAATGATAATCACATACCTACTAACATAATGTATCGCTTTATCTTCTGATACATCTAATTGTGGTTTTATAAAATCTACATGTAAACCTCCATAGAATCCTCTTATTACATAAAATTGTTAATGCATTTATCCATTTTAACCATTTAATCTAAACTCTAAACTTATATTTTCATGTCTTCATATTTCTATGTATTGTCTCGAAAATACTCAAAAATCTATCATATTTAATTATCAACTTATTTTCTAATAATATTGAATAATAATTACTTACTCAACAATATTATATATCATGTACTTAATCTTTGTTCTACACTTCAACTAATCATAAAGCCTCTATCTTCTAATTATTTTTTCATATGTTCTAATATTTTATTTATTTTAGTGGATATTTCACTAATTAGAATTATATCAACCACTAAAAACATATACACCAACTCACATTTCTTTAAATTTTTTTTGTAAACCATTCATAACCAATACAAAATAATATGACCTCTAGAATGATCCTTAATGTACACTTGACGTAACTAAAAATTTTTTGAGTCACTCAATTGCTACTTTTAATATTAGTTAGTGCTCCACCGTGCATATCTTTAATAATTTTGTCATTATTTTAGAAATTATATTTTTACCTAGAAGTGTGCTAAATCTCGTGGTGCTGGATCATATGTTTTTTCAATGTCAATGAAATCATATGAAGGGCATTTCTTTGTTTTTAATGCTTTTCCATTAATTATCTTAATGCAAAAGTCACTTCTACAGTAGATCTTTTTTATGTAAAATAATAAAACTAAATTGGCTCTTTGAAATAGATGTAATTTTTTCATACTTATGTTCCATTACCATCTCTCATAACTTCATTGAATGACTCATAAGTTTTATTTTTTATTTTTTTTTATATTAGTACTAAAATATTTTTCTAAGTTTTAAGATATTAGAGTTATTAAAAAATAAGTGCTTGATAATAGTTGATGATAGAGTCATGGGGTAGGAGGTAGCTAGTTTTGTGGTTATCCTAATAAGAAGAGATTGTACAATCAGGAGGATGAATGTTTTCTGTGGATCATTGGCAAATGTTGGGTGATGGATGAAGAGCAACATTGAAAGTCAGACAACTATGAATAGCTAACTTAGTCATTCTCTTGATGTTAGGGGAGATTGGCTGATTGAGAATGCAGGTGTCGAACATCTATCATTGGTCTTTGGCAAGCATTGGTGGATGGTCATGGATGATATGAAACTTTAGATGTTGAGCGATGATCACGGTCAACTTGGTTGTTCCCCTGATAGGAGGGGAGATTGGGTAGTTTGGAAGATAGGCGTTAGATGTCAGTCATTGGCAATCATTAATGTCCATTATAGTTGGAATAACATATGGTTAACTTGACCATTCTATTAATAAGAAGGGAGACAAAATGATTGAGAAGGCAAATATCAGATTCTATGATTGATGGCATTGGTTAGTGGTAAGTATTAAATGCCAATTGATGGGGAGCATTTGAATTTGAACAATAGTGGGTGATTTTGTTGGTTTTTCTAATATGGGAGGATTGGTATGACAAGCATCATATATTAGTAGCTGATAGACATCAAATGTTGATCATTGGCAAACATCAAATGATGACCAAAAGATAACTTTCAAAGTCAGACAACAAGAGGTGATATGTTTAGTCATTCACCTAATTGGAGGGGGGATTGAGTCATTAAAAAATTGATGTCAATGACAATTATTGGGGAAAAGTGAAAGTCTGGTGATATGGGCGGTCAACTTAGTTGTTTTCTTGATAGGAGGGGAGATCAGGCAAATAGAATGATGAGCATCAAGCATCACTCATTGGCTGCATTATGCAATGATATTGGAGGAATGGTTGAACTTGAGCAATGATGGATAGTCAGCTTGATCTTTCTTAATATAGAAAATGAGACAGAATAATCGAGAAGTCAGGCATTTGATGTAGATGATTGACATATGTCAATCTTTGGTTGATTAGGAATGTCAAAAGTCAAATGATAGTGGGCATTCTTCTTGTTTGTTCTCGTCATAAGAAGGGAGAGCATGCTATTGGGAAGATGATCAATGAATTTCGAATTTCAGTGGTTAACAATTGTAATCATTAAAATGCATCATACCATGGTGGGCAATCAACTTGATCTATCATTCTGATAGGAATGAAGACCAATGAGTAATAAGACAAATGTTGTTGGCTAATACACATTGGGTGTTAGTTGTTGGTCAACATCAGGTGATGTTCAATGAGGGAAGTTGGAAGTTGGGCAACAGTGGATGGGGTCGGCTTTTTCATTCTCTTAATATGAGGGTAGATTCAACAAGCAAGAAGGTGGGTATCAGACAGATGATTGACAACGTCGAACAATGGCGAGAATAGGCATAGATGTTAGTCGACAACATGTGTTGTGTGGAAATAGACAAAGCTTTGAAATTCTCTATGATTTTCATTTTTCTTTTTGTTGAAAATCCTGCCCTTAATGCATAGAAACATGATATATCTATTGATTTTATTAGAGGGCATTTGAGCCATCTATCAGAATACTAGACACTCTATTGGATGGTATTAACATGCCCTTGTAAATCATTTATTTTCTTAGGCATCTTAGTGCTCAATGAAGTGAAAATTGATCAATTTTGAACTAGAAACATTCCTCTCACTATATGGGGTAAGCTACATGAATCCTTTTTCTCCATTATGTCTTGTTAAAAGTCAAATTTCATTTAAAATCTAATAAAATAAGGTCATTTCTAATATTTTTCTAACAAAGTCTTTTCAGTTCTACCTCTACCTCTCTTAACATAGACCAAATCTAAAACATCTACTCTCCTAACCGGGTCATTAGAAAGTCAATGTTTTGTGTGACCAAACTATCTAAGGAAACTATCTAATGAGAGTTGAATGAGTGGCATATCAGTAAAATATAATAATTTAGTATGGTATGCTAATAAATTTATATGTTTAGGTATGCTAATAATTTAGGGGTAGCAGGTCCAGAAGCCACACTTTGTTTTTGGTAATATTAATTAACTCATCTAATTTTAAAATTGATGAGAGTTGAATGAGTTGCATATCAGTAAAATATAATAGATTAGTATGGTACGCTAATAAATTTATTTGTTTAGGATGGCACACTTGTAAAAATACTCTATTACATTTCACTAAGTTCATGAAAATGTTTCAGCGAGCTTGGAGCTTTCTCTGACTCTGGTTTAAATGGGTGTATAACTTTCTATTGTAATATTTGGATGCAATCATTGTGCTAGTTTTTTTGTAGGTGTCTGTTATGCCGCCAGCCCAGGAGGGGCCAGCTGGAACGGTCTAGCCAGGACCGGTTCTCTTTTACTCCAGGCGGCCCGCTTTGGGCGGAAATTAGAGCAAGAAAGGGGGGGCGGTAGCCCTTGTGGGGCCCAAGCATTTAATGTAATGAGCTTTAGAAGGGAAATTTTGAATTAAGGGGTTGTTTAGGGATTTCTAATTAGTCCTTTTGCTTTAATTAGGAGTTAAGGTGTGAGTTAGGGTTTCATCTTGATATTGGCTGAAATTTTGAGATCTCCTTGTGGATTGGGGCTCTAGGCTTTGCTAGAGAGTTTTGGAGAGTTATTCTTCCTCTCGAATTGAAGAACATTGTATCTTATTTTGTTTTCTTGCATCTACTAGTAAAATCTTTGTTTTCCCTCCCTAATTTCCACTGTTTTGGTGCAAAACCTGCTGCGTGGATGCTGTCTTTCTGCCGCGACAGCAGTTTCCCCTCTGTTTTCGTACTAATTTTGACTAGGTTTGCTTGCGAACTCAAGTATTACCTTAGGGTTACTTGTGAACTCAAAAATTTCCTATCAGTGTCCCAATGGAACTGATTTGGGCTTTCAATGCATCATTATTATAGCTGATATGTGAGATGGAACTACTAGGTCTAGGCTTTGTTTGGGACGGCTTTTTTTCTGCTTCTTAAAGTAGCTTTTTAGTACAAAAGCTATTAGAAAGCTACTTTAAGAAGCAGAAAGAAAGCCGTCCCAAACGAAGCTCTAATCTAATCACTTTTTTCACAATCATTTGTGCCTGTTTTGTCTTTACAATTATACTTTTTAGCTGCCTCTTTTAATTGTATACCTTTTTTCATTGAATATTACTTATGATAACAAATTGTAATGGCAATCCATTTCAAGTTTTCAGTTGAACCTAGAATCAGGCACCCAACTCACAAAAACATTATCTTTTGTTACTTTTTGATGGGATTGGATTGAATGTGCTTAAACCAATGAAACTAGTCGAGTCTATTTTCCAAGCTAGGCTAATCAATGATAAGAGTAGGCTCTGCAAAAGCTGGGCTAATTTGCTTGATGATAGATTGATAGCTGTCTAAGAAGCAAATTTGTCAGAAACCTACCCCAAATGGACCTTGAGTTTTCCCAGCATGTCTCTGTGGGTATTATAGGACAAATTATTAGGCGCGGAGTCTGGACGTTGTCCAAAGGCCGATAAAAATACACCATGTCACCCCAAAAGTGTACCGCGCTCGATACCGAGCGCGGTACCGAGCGGTACCGGACGGTTCTCCCGTCCAGCGTCCGCACAGAATAATCTCTCGTATTATAGACTCTCTCTCTCTTTTAAAAAAGTTGGATATTAGCTCTTTGCAACTAGCACAATCTATCATTTGTGCTTATAACAAGTTGTTTCTCACCACAAAAGTGTCTGAAAAGCAGAAAGAAAGCTGCAGTCAAATAAGACTGATAGCTATCTAAAAGGCAAAGTTATTAGAAACTTTGTCCCGAGTGGACCTTGAGTTTTCCCACCCTAGATGTCCAGCTTGCGCTTGTCTGCGTCTACTATTTTGGGTTCTTTCATAAAATGCTTTCTAAGATTTAGTTAATTCTTTTCAGGTACTCATATTTTTCCCATTTGTTTGATCTATAAATGTCTAAAATTGATAGCCTTTTCTCAGAAACACCACTCAGTGGAGGATTTTGAGCTTATGAATGTGCAAGAGCAATCTGCTCAACTGGAGAAGGAACTTGTGCTAAAAGAACGGGAAACTTTGGAGGTTCTAAAGGAACTTGAAAGGACTAAAAGAATTGTAGATACCCTGAAAATTAGATTGCAGGAAAAGTCACCTGAAGTCATTAAATTCCCTGAAACCCACCCAGATGACTTAAAGCTTCATCCTGTCATAGAACCGGAAGGAGAGATCCCCACTGTTAATTCCAGCCATGCAGTCAAGCAAACAACACAATCTGCGGCATCTATTTTAGCTGGTCTCAGCCAAGCAAAGATGAATCTGAGCAGGAAAACAGGTGACCTGACCGACATTCGAGCTTCCATAGACACACTAAACCAAAATTTAGAGGAGGAGAAGGACTTAATCAAGAAGTCCCATGAAAGCCTTTCTTCAAAAAGAGCCATTGTTTCTTCTTTAGAAGATGATTTGAAGCAAATGACTTCAAAGCTACAGTTGGCCAACGATGCAAAAGACAAATGCAATGGAGATCCTGCAAGCATCTCAGCAGAGATAAAGAATCTAACTTCTGAGAGAGAACATTTTAACCAATCCGTGAAAACGGCCAAATCAGAAATATCGAGACTAGTTTCTGAGATTGAACAGACAAAGGTTAGTATAAAGGCTGCTGAAATTAGGTGCTTAGCTGCTAAGAAGATGGAAGAAGCAGCTAAAGCCACTGAAGCCTCTGCACTTGCTCAGACTAAAGCTCTAATAAACAGCAACAGCTCAACTTCAGGTTTGCAAAACCACCCTTCCATGGTCCTTCCAATTGAAGAATATATAATCCTGACTGACAAAATACAAGAGGCAGATGAAACCTCAAGGAAGAAAATTGAATGTGCCTTGCTTGAGGTCGAAAAAGCCAACCAATCTAAGCTGCAGCTGATGTCAAAAATGGAGGAAGCTGAAGTAGATTTGAAAACCAGCAAGAAGTTTCTGGAAGAAGCCATGAACCGTGCAGAGGCTGCGAACCGTGGAAAGCTTGCAGTCGAAGAAGCACTGCGGAGAAGGAGATCCGGCCATGGCCAACGGGGACGCTACATTCATAACTCCACCAAGTTCAAGAACTCTTTTCCTGGTCATCACAAACGAGACTCCAGAATGCTCGATCTTAACGGGCTTAATTTGATGAATGATTGTGATAGGACTGGAAAAAAGCACACCTTGTCTATAGGAGAAATACTAAGCAGGAAATTAGTTGGTCCTGGAGATGATTATGGTACAGAAATATACAAAAGATCAAATGAAGAAGCCAAGGTTTCACTTGGTCAAATACTTAGTAGAAAACCTGAAGTTTTATCTCCTCAGAATGGTTGTGGACCTGCTCGCAAGCATCATCACACAAAGAGGAAGAAATTTGGGTTTGCTTTGTTCTCACATCTGTTGAGAAATGAAAAACTGAAGAACAAGAAGAACAACAAGAACAGGAAGAGGAAGCAAATTTCCGTTTCTGGGTAATTCTGAATGGATGATAAGTAGGCATCTACAACTCTTGCTGATATGTCTAGTTTTGTACCGGATATAATTCTTGCTACCAAGTTCACTGCTTGTTAAATATTAACAAATCTTCTTATGGCTGTAAAATGTGTGTTTTTACACTGGTTGTATATAGTCTTGAAAATCTAAGCTTTGCGTACAGAAGCTATCAAGTTTTGATGACTTAAGTTGAAGCAGAAATTGATCATAGTTTGCTACTATTGTTGTAGTGGTTGTAACATGATTAGTTGAAAGGAAATATCGTATTATGAAAAGTCAATGCAGTGTATTGAAAAGTCTTGCATGAAAAGTCATTGCAGAGTTAGACTTTTCATATTTCCTATAAGTCAGTTATGTATTTCTTTAAAACAGGTTATATGTGTGGGGATGCTAAAGCTATTGCAATTACTCTTATTTTTAAACATAGTAATGCTTCTCAAATTTCAGATTATAGGCCTATTTATTTTTGTAATGTCTTTTATAAAGCTGTTGCAAATATTTTGGCTAATCGTATGCAGGGTGTTATGCCTTTTATCATTCATGAAAGTCAATCTGATTTTATTAAAAAGAGGATTGCTATGAATAATATTATTCTAGCTTTTGAATTATTAAGAGAGTTCAATAGTTTGAATAAAGATAAATTCTTTTGTTCAAAATTGGATGTTCATAAAGCCTTTGATATTGTTTCTAAATATTTTCTTTTGAAAATGTTAGCTCAAAAAGGCTTCCCTAATATTTTTATTTCTTGAATTAAAGGTTGTAATGACGATATTTTCTTTCCTATTATCATTAATGGTACAATTGAAGGTTTTTTTAATTCTTCATTTGGCAAGGGTGTCCTTTCTCCTTATTTTTGTATAATTATGGATGTTTTATCTAATCTCCTGAAAGATATGTTTCAAGCGGATAATTTTGAGGGTATTAATTCAGGAGATATTTCTATCCCTCATTTACTTTATGCGGATGATGTTCTTATATTTGGTTAAGTATTTATTTCTAATGTGGAAAAGTTAAATGATATTTTGGATTGTTTTTCTAGGACTTAGAGTTTATTTGTTAACCATGATAAAAGTACTATCATTTTCTCTAAAGGTTGTTCTATTTTCAAGGAAATTTGCCAGATTTTGGGTATTGCAACTTCTCAGACTTTTATGAAATATTTAAGGTTGCCTATTTCGAGTAAAAGGTATTCTCAGGCTGATTTTTATCCTTTGCTTAATAAGATTACAATTCTCTTTGTTGGTTGGAAAGCGAAAATCTTATCTTTTACTAGTAGAGTGCAATTTATTATTTTTTTTATCTCTAATATTATTGCTTATTGGATTAGAGATATTTCTATACTTAAAAAGTTATTTTAAATTTATTAAGAATGTCAGTTCTAATTTTCTTTTTCATGGAGAAGTTTCAGTTAAGAAAATTCATATAATTGCTTGGAAAGAGATTTATAAGCCTAAAAAAGTAGGGGGACTTAGTATTCCGGGTCTTGTTGCTCTCTCTTACGCTTATAATTGTTCTCTTATTTAGCGTATTCTTAATTATAATGGCCTTTTAGCTTCTTGGTTTAAGAGTAAATATATTTCTTGTTGAAAGCCTTATTCTAAAAAGATTCTAAGATTTGAAAAGATATTTGTGTTGCTGCTAGAGCTATTCAAGGTAATACTTCATTTAACATTACGTCTAATAGTGCTTTATGTTTATATTGGGATCCATGATTAAATGGGAAAGTTCTTCAAGATTTTAACATGGCAAATCTAGAAAATTTGGTCAAAGTATCTATTGGTGAATGGATTAGTAATTCTGCTTGGAATATTCCTTTTTATGTTCCCATAAATATTGGTTTGAATATTTCAGCACTTTCTATTTAGTATCAAGCTATTTCTAATGTTTCATGGGATGGGATGATGTATCTTTCTTTTAAGATGTTTTATAATTCTCTTTATAATAACTTTGCTAGATTGGATTGGTTCTCTTATATTTGGCATAAGAGGTATGTTGTGAGATTTTCTTGCTATTTTTGGATGTGTATTTTAAATGGGTTGAAAACAGCTGATTTATTGGATAAAAGGAATGTACTTGTTCCTTTATCTTGTATCATTTGTTCTAAAATTGATGAAAGTCATAATCATTTATTTTTTTAATGTGATTTTTCATATATAATTATACTTAATATTGTACCTGGGTTAAGTTTTTTTATGCTTAGACCTAATCTTGTTCAAATCATAGAATTTATTTGGGATTTGGATTGGTTTTTATATGCTAAATATTTGTTTCTTCTTTCTACTCGATGTACTGCTGATTTCATCTAGAAAAAATGAATTGCAGGAAGTTTGATGGTAAATTTTGTTGTTCCATCTCTCTTTGTAAGAGTATTAAAATTGCTATTAAGGCTAAAGTTTCTAATTGGGGTACAAATTTGAGCATTTAGTTCATTCATTAGGTTTCTGATTTTGGCTAGTTTGGGTTCGATTTTCTTACTTATGTTTTCTGTTTTTATCTTTGACAATGATGTTGGACATGAGTCTTTTTTATTTTGCTGGCTTGTTCTTGTTTTTCTGATAGTTTTTGTGTTGGGGTTTTTTATGTTTGGAGCTTCTATTAGTTTAGCTCGGTGTTTTGCCTGTTTCTAGTGGTAGCTAGGTTGTTGTTCTTGCTGGTTGCCGGGTTGGCTGGAGGTTGTGCTGGTGTTTGCTTGGAGTTGGCTTGTTCTTTGAGCTTTTGTTAATTTGGCTCGGTGTTTAGCCTATTTTTGGCAGTTGCTGGGAGTTGGCTTTTTAGTTTTGAATGTTTGCTTTTTTGTTTATGAATTTGTTTTTGGGCAGGTGGTTGTTCTGTGTAAGAGCTTGGTTAATTGGAGGTTGGCCTAGTGATTTCTTGGTCTTGGCTAGTTCTTTTGTTAGCGGAGAGCGGTTTTGTTGCAGGAGCTTTTCTTTGGGTCTGGAGCAGTCATCCTGTTGGTGGATCCTTTGGAGCTGGGAGTCGTTCTTGTTTGATAGCTAAAGCATTTTATTCTTTGTTTATTTTTTTTATCCTTCTTTTTATTTAAGATTAGCTTTCTAATCTTTATTAAAATTTCACCTTTTATGAGGAGCTTTTGTTTAGTTGGCTTTAGCCTTTCTTTTATTTATTTTTTTCTTTCTTTAATTTTGTAAGTTTTTCTTTGTTTTTTCTTATAAAACTATTGTAACTTTTTGTAAATATTTTTGAAATAAAATTGAACTTGTTTTGCCCTTATTTTTCCAAAAAAAAAAAGACTTTTTATATTTATATATTCCTTTATCTATAAATATCACCCCTTCCATCAAAATAGATTTTATGTGTTTCATTATGACATTGCTATGAATTTTTAAGATTAAAATATTTATGTGAAATTTGAATGCATGCAATTGGAAAAATTTTAATTTAAATTATAATAAGCCTGAAAATTATAGAACTTGTTTTAAATTAGATGTAATGCAAAATTAATTAATTTTTCCCACAATTTAAAATAAATTTAAAAAATTTGAAAGTAAAAAACACCTTATCTTTATGGAAGTTTCTGAAAAGGCAAAATTAATAATTTTTTCACACAATTTAAAATAAATTAAAAAAATTTGACTAAATTTTATTTAGAATATTGTCAACAAATTTTTTTCTCATGTTACTAAGGCATTATTTGGAACAACTTTCTTACTGCTTTCTAAAATAATTTTTCTAGTAAAAAATTTCTAATTTAAGAAAACTTTTTACTAAGAATTTGTTTTAAAAAATAGTACAAAAATTATCTTAAATGAAACCTATTCGAAAATAATTTGTTGTCTTGGTAAACTTTTATAAAATAATTATAAAGCTATTGTAGAATGAGCAACTTCTTAAAAACTACTATGAATATAACTGCTCAAAAAGTACCCCAAAAAAAAAGTAATGTGAAAAGTAATTAGGAGTTGAAAGCAAAGCAATAAAAATACCGATTAATTTTTAAAATGATGTACAAAAAATAAAAATTTTGATATGATGTCATTCGTTTGTTAACCCAATGACGGACTCTGACGGAACAAAATCATGTGGCAGAGCAAAGGGCCTAGCTAGTCGTGAGTTTACGTTCAGGCGCAGATGTGGTGGGTCGGGTCCTGATCTCATATGTATGGGCCTGGTTGGGGTGTGAGAGGAATGGGTCAATTGCGGGTCGGGAGCTGGTTGGAAGTATGCATTCTGACATATGTGGGACAGGTATGGCTCCCGCGGCGCCAAGGCAAGTTGTAACCTTTCTTAACTACTAAATCTATATAATTTAATTTTGCCTAAATTATTTCGATTCCCAATTTTATATTAGAGTTCAATTTATAGTTAAATTAATTAAATTAATAAATTAGAAGGCAAGTCCTTTAAAAGACATGTTGTTTCCTTTAATTGATTAATTTTGTTATAATAAAATTTACTAGTTTTATTTATAAATTTGAGTAAAATATAATTTACTAATTTAATTTATTAATTTTATAAAAATATAATTTACTGGTTTAATATATTAGTTTAATTTATTAATTTTACTAAAACATAAGTTACTAAATTAATTTAATTTGTTAATTTTAAAAAAATAGAATTTAATTTGTCAGATTTACAGTGCAGTTCCCAACAGCGGGACGAGAAGTAAGTCAGTTAACTTTTTATAAATAATTTAATTGTCACAGATTAGCAGAATTGTCGATATGTCCGAGTGGTTAAGGAGACAGACTTGAAATCTGTTGGGCTACGCCCGCGCAGGTTCGAACCCTGCTGTCGACGAATCTTTTTTATTTTTTTTATATTATTATATTTGCCCATTAATTAAACTGTTGGAGATTGTTTGATTGAAAGATTTAAATGTTTGTATTTTAAGAAATTTATAAATTGATTGGTTTTATATAATTTTTTTTTCTAAATTTATAATGTTAGTAATTTAAAAATATATTTGAGTTGTTTGATTGATCATTTATATGAATTTTTTTATGATATGCAGACTGCATAGTTGAAAGTAGTATATCATTTTTCACATATGCTGTGTGCCTGTGTATTTAAAATAAATAATATGATAAATTTTAAAATCACTTTAAAAATATTTTATATTTGAAATGCAAGTATTCAAATAGTTATTTTTTAAAAAACTCTTATATTTGTTTTATTTTACACTCGAAAAGTTGCTGGCCAAAAACTCCATAAATTCAATCTAGCGAATTTGGTTGACTGTCATTGCCTTTAGATTTATGCTCAAATTAATATTACAGTTGATATTAAATATCACATTAATCATATAGATAAAATATGAACAAGTATATACTTAAAAAAGTTGGAGTAATTCGAATGACACATGAGACTAGAGAGAGTCACTTTAGATGGTCTGGTCACATAAAATTTTGACTTTCTGATCATCCAATTAGAAGAGTAGATGTATTATA